GCCTTGACAAGTCCAGCTGCTGAGCTGGAGAGACTGTGGGAAAAGGTGAAGACCCCAGGACTACCTGCAAAGGGAGACTGCTCCAGCCACCCCAGCATCCCAGCTGAGCCATGCCCTCAGGCAACCCGCAGCTGAACTGCGCTAAGGGAAGGACCAGCACAGCTGCTTGGCTGAGTCCAGGTTGCAGAGTCATGACCACACGACGTGCTAAGTCACTAAGATTTGGACTGACTTGTTATGCACCAATAGATAAGCGACAATGAACAAATTTGACCTACTACAGATAGGTTGAACCGCGAGCCCAACAATTACAGAATAAGTATTCTGTTCAAATACAAGGAACGTTTTCAAAATTGACTACAAAGGAGCTTAGAAGGCAAGTTTCAATACATTTTCAAGGATCGGTGTCATCCAGATCTCATTCTCTGCCCATGTTGCAGTTAAATTTGATATTACTATCTAAAAAAAAAAATGTGTCAAGTTAAATTTGATATTGTTAACATTAATAATATCCAAAGTTTTAGAAATTAGAAATAGACCTTCTAAACAAACAGCCAGCTTGTTAAACTTGTTTGTTACAGTATGAAGTAAAAAAAGATCATGGGGTTGTTTGTTATTGCCTCCTAACCTAGCATATCCTTACTGCTACAACCACCAGGTGGTGATACAGTGTAATAGTCCACCGCATGGCTCTGCATTCTGATCCTGACTCCATCCTCTACTCGCTGTGTGGCCTTGAGCAAATTACTTAATCTCACTGTGCCCTGCTTCTCTTCATCCATAAAGTGAGAACAATAATGACGTGATAGTACAACAGAGTTGAAATTATTGAAGATTAGATGAGATCTGTAAAGTCCTAAGAAGAAAGGCGTGCAAAAAGTAAGGTCTCTGTAAATGTTAATTATTATTACTATCATTACCTTCATATTCTATACACTGACACTTGGCAATGTAAAGTCTCTCCCCCAAAATCACACACCAAGGAAGTGGCAAAGCCAGAATTTCACCCCTGTCTTTCCAACTCCCTTGGCACCCTGTGCCCCCTTTATGGCATCATGCGTCTCCCCCTTTGTGGGACTAGGAATAGAGTCACCATTCCTTCCTCCCCTTGCCCCCCTCAAGCCCGTCCACTCTGGAGAATCTAGCGACTCTGGCTCATATTCTGGAGATTGCTCCTGCCTCAGGACCTCCCTCCTGTTACTCCCTCAGCTCCCCAAACTGTCCTGCCCTCAGTTCTCTCCCAGGCGTTCACCCCTTTGGGCTGAGCTCAAACCATACTTTCTCAGGAAGCCTTTCCTGACCCCAAACTTCCCCCCCTGACATACCCCACCAAACTAGGCCCAGTTCCCATTGTCTGCTCTCCTAGTACCCCATGCTTTCCACTTCCAGCATTTATCACACTTAAAATTATTTGTGTTGTTATATGTTGAACGTCTCCCCAGCTGTATCCATGAGGCAATCTATCTATGTAGGGCTGGAGCCCTGCACCTGCACATGGTAGGAACTTAATCACTGCTTGTTGGATAGATGGATGGAAGGAAAGAAGGAAGGAAGAAGGGATGGATGGATGGATGATGGATGGATGATGTGTGGATGGATGGATGAATGGATGGATGATGGATGGATGGATGGGTGGATGGATGGATGAGTGGATGAGTAGATGGATGGTTGAATGACAGGCACAGTCTCTAGGGGCCTTGAGGGCATCACAGAGGACCTTCTCTTTAGGACAGACCTTGTCATTTCTCTTGGAAGGGGAAAAGGGAATTCTTCAGGATTCTGCCTGCCATGGTTTGGAAGAGAGTTGCCTTGCTGGCTGATTATTTCACTCAGAGTCAGCATGTTTTTAAGGAAGAGTTAGTTGTGGGACCCATGACTCATGTGCTATGGCACTTCCCTATTTGAACCTAGGTTCTACTTAACTTGACCCCAAGCGCCAGAAGGAGAACATTTGTGGGAGCTAAGAGTTAGCAGTTTTGAGAACCAAGTCAGCAGTCTGGACAGTGGGGTGAGTTTCTGTCTCAGGTGCTGATCTAGGTTCAAACATCAAAGGTTGGTATGTGTTATTTTCATCCTCAGTAGCAACACACATGGAGACTTTCACATCACCTCTGAGGAGAAGGCTAGGATCTGGGGATACCTTTGGGAGATGCTCAAGAAACATCGAGCTGGTTCACGAGGACTGCACAAAGGCAAGGTGAAGGACACACGTTCTTTAGACTTAGTTTAGCCTCACGAAATTCTCCCAAACCCAAGATTTATTCATTTCTAGCTCCCACCTCAAGTCCATTGAAGATTGTGTGTGTGTGTGTGTGGGGAAATCTCCTTTTAAGATTTTATTTATTTTATTTGAGAGAGAGAGAGAGAAGGGGCAGAGGGATAGAGAGAATCCCCAAGCAGACTTCCTGCTGTGCGGCGCCCAATGCGGGGCTTGATCTCAGGACCCTGAGATCAAGACCTGAGCTGAAATCAAGAGTTGGGTGCTCAACCGACTGAGCCGCCCAGGTGCCCCTGAGGTCTCCTTTATTACAACTCATCCCAGGACTCAGGCTGACCCGGCAACCACCATCTTGCAGACTGCTGGTCCCCCAGGAGAGGGAAAGAAAGAGCTCTGGAGGGTTTTGGACTGGCAATGAAATCACAACCTGGAAGTGACCATCGCTTCTGCACACAACTTCTTGGCCAGAACTTGGGATGGTTAGTCTGAGGCATCCGTTTGGGGAGGACATCGTACTCAGTGATTTAATCAAACACTAATCTGGATGTTGGTGTGACCAGGTGCCATAGATGTGTTGACATCTACAATCAGTGGGCTTTAAGTAAAGGGCATCACCCCGTTAATGTGGGTGAGCCTCATCCAATCAGTTGAAAGGCATAAAGAATAAGAACTGAGGTTTCCCAGAGAGAAGGAATCCTGCCTGGGTCTCCAGCCTGCTGACCTGCCCTACAGAGTTCACACCTGTCAGCTTTCTAATCCCGGGAGCCAGTTTTTAAAAATAAGTCTCTTGATATACATAAGTATAAGCCACTTGATTATATATATATATATATATATATATATATATATATAAAGCCAGAATTTCACCCCTGTCTTTCCAACTCCCTTGGCACCCTGTGCCCCCATATATATATATATATATATATATATATATATATATATATATATATATATATATAAAATCTGTGCCTCAGTTTACTATTCTGTAAAATAGAGATGAACTAAGCAAGCCTGAACAGGTTGTAGGGATGAAATGGATTAATAGCCAGGAGGAATTGAGTCTGGCACGGGGGCGGTTACCTTATTCCTGTTACGGCCCGGCTCCCTCCTTGCCCTTGGCCTTCTCATCCCATAGCAGCTGTCTGGAAATGCTGCCTAACTTACTGCAGGTTTCGATGCCCTCCAGCACTGGGAGCACCGCCCTCCCCATGTCCCATCCTGCCCTGCAAATATTAGGCAGGAGCAGTGACCCATGGTGGCCCTCTCTGGCTCACTGGGGCCCCCCTCTGGTAGTCTGCACAGACCAAGGCTCCCAGAGCACAGAGGTATAATGGGTGGTGGGCTCAGAGCCTGCTTCCTGGGGAAGGAGAAGGGCAGGGGAGCTGCCTGGGCTCAGAGACCCCCAGAAGGTACCTATGTTGACTACTCTGCAGAGGAGCCCTGGGGCCTGAAGAGTGGGTTCCATTTGCTACCTATGACCTTGGGGAGCAAGGACCTGTCCTAGGACTGGCTACGTAATTTGCAGGGCCCAGTACAAAATGAAATTGTGGGGTCCCTTGTTCAAAAGGTTTTAGGAATTTCAAGGCAGAAGAACACCAAATCAGGTGTGGGGGCTTTGAGTCTGCTGAGAGCATGGGCACAGGGGTGGGGGGAGTGGGGATGGGGCCGTAGGAGTGGGGGGGCATCCAGGGCCAAGACCCTCACGGGGAGCAAGTCTGGGGCACGGAATTCCTGGGTGGAGAGATTAACCTGTCCTCCTGCTATGTTGGGTTGGACACCAGCTTGCACCAGGCTCTGGGGAAACGTGTAGCTGTTTATGGTCGCTCTGGCCTATGTCGAGAATGCACAGGAAATGGTTTGGTTTTCCCCGCTAGTGATTCATTCCCTCAGCCTTGCTCTTTCCATTCTCCGCTTCCTGTCCCTTCGCTAGGGCTCGGACAGATTCTGCCATTTCCCAGGCACTTTGGGGCAATAAAAAGGCCTGTTTGGTTGAATCTAAAACTTCCACCTCAAATCCAATTTCACGGTCATCTTGTCCCTTCCTGCAGAGCGGCCAGGCCTTGCCCTGAGAGCCCCAGGAGGGAGGCAGGGAGGGGAACCAGCTGCTTCTCCTTCCTCTTCCTCCCTCTCTGCTTAGCCTGAGCCGAGGAGGGGAGGGAGAGCAGGAGGAGGGAAAAAAAAAATCCAGGGTCTCTTAACTTGACAGTGACACGCCCCCGGCCTCCCGCACCCCCGAGGACTCCCGATTTCTCCCCCTGCCTCCTCGGCTGTCTCCTGCTTGTATGGCTGTCAATGGAAGGAGGGGGAGAGGGTGGGCTAGCATTTTGGCCACTTCTTCAGCCTTCAGCCCTGAGAAGACATCTTACCTCTTTCGCTGCTGGCTGGGGGCACCTGATATCCCTCTGCCTCCAGACCGGAGTCCTGGATCACAGTCCTGGGACAACGGGAAAAGGCCCTCTTCATAAGACAAGACACAGAGACACTTAGAGCTCTGCGGGGAAAGCCAGCAACAGACAGCTGCGTCTCTGGCTTTGGCACAGGGATAATATCATACGATCGCAGCTCGTGTTTACCGAACATGTGTTCCGTGTGCCCCGAGATGTGCAGAGCACTTCACTGACATTAAAGCATCACATTTTCTCAGCCAGGAGGGATGTGCTATTTTAAGTCCCGTTTTTCGCTGACGAGAAAATTGAGGCTAAGAAAGGTTAAGAACCACGCCCACGGCCACAAACCCCCGCAGTGGCCAAGTCAGGGCTGGACGCAAGGCCTTCCCAGCTCCATACCCAGCGCCTCATAGTGACTCCACTCTCTGACCTTGTGAAAGGGTCCATACAAGGTGCATGAATACTATAGTGATGGTGGTGGGGGCTGATCCTGCCTGTGGAGTATCAGGGAAGGCTGCATGGAAGAGGCGATCTTTGAGTTTCGATGTAAAGGGCAAGCAGCTGGAGGGAATGGCTTGTGCAGGGAATGGCTCTGAGGCCTGGACAGCACAGCAGGTAAGGACTTGCGGGGAGCCCCAGGAGGATGGGGCCCAGGGCCTGTGTCAAGGTGAGCTCTGGGGGATGAGGCTGAGGCGAGTCCCACTGAAGACCCTGAGAAACATTTTGGACTCTGTTCCTGAGCTTTGAGAATTCTCACAGCACCGAACACATTATGAAATTATCTCATTACTTACACGCTCGTTCTCTGCCTCCCCCCGTTAGGGTGGACACTCCGTGAAGCCAGGCACGTGACCATTTCGTTCCTCTCTAGATCCCCGATAGCTGGCCTGCAGTGGACATTCAATACATGCTTGGGGGAATGAATGCACGAAGTCCACCTGACTGGGAGGTGTAGCCCCTGTAGCTAGACCTTGCTGCCACTGTCTCGAAGTCCTCAGGCTTGCACTGAGCGGCTGCTAGCCTCGGTGGGTGGTCCCACCTTGGCCCAGAGATGGTCTGGCCTCCCGGAGAACATGGCTTGAAAGTCCCACCTGCAACCACCAGGTGGCGCTCACGCTACACAAGGAAACCCACACCGGGTTCTGTTGAATTGCGGGTTTTGGAGGGGTAGGTGGGGAGGGCGGGGGGAATCTCATCTGGGAGCCACAGATGAGTTCTCCAGGCTGCCATTTGTTCTCATAAGTGCCTGGATTCCCTTCTCCAGAACCAGACGGGGTGACCAGCGTCGTGGGCCCAGGTCCCATGTCCCCCTCCCCAGCTATGGGCAGCTGTAGGTGAGAAAGCAGGATGGCATGGGGAGGGGGTCGCTGGGGTCGGGACCCGGGATGCCTGTGACTGTCACTCCCTTCCAGCCAGCTGCCCACTACGCCTGCCCACCAGCCTTGTTCTTGGCCGCTCCGGAGAGCAAGGCCATTCCTCAGCCCACTGCAGCCCCTCCCAGGCTGCCGGCCCCTGTCCAGATGCTCAGCAGGCCCAGGGCTCCAAGGTCAGCCCCCCGACACAGCTCCAGGGGAATTCACCTTGATCTTAGCTCGAGGTGGGTGCTTCCAGCCCTGGGGGTCTGGCCATGCCTGTCTTCAGGCACACGGGGGAGTTCTGGAAGCTTCTGGGGCCACCCTGGGAAGGAAGCGGTCACATGACCCAGGCGGTGGGGATGCATCTCTCGCTCTGGGGACTCAGGTGAAGCGAAACCAGGACTGTGTTTTTCTGTAACTCAGCCTGATGGCTACTTTGAGCCCCGATTCTGACCCATGGCAGAAAATGCCATCTTGGCCAGTTCTGGGTAAACTGGGCCATTTAAACTCAGAGTTTAGAGGGTCCCTTTGCCCTTCTTTTGGCCCTAGCGTGGCAGTTATGTTCTAGGGGGTTATACAGACTTATGGCATTGGGGAGGGTACCTGGTCACTGGTAGCTCCTGATGCCAGTGTCCCCTGAAGGGACACGGTCATGTCTCATCCCCCTGCTCTACTTGTTCCGAGGTGTCCAAGCCTCAGAGAGTTTCCTCCTTGGTAGCCTGCTCGCTGTCCCTTACTGACTTCTGTGTCCTTTGTCCTCCCTGCCCCCTGCCAGCCCCCCACCCCGTGTTAGCACCCCCCACTTACCAGATTTCTCGGGTTCCGTCTGTCCCCAGCTGTCTTAGCTCTGGGGACTTCTCATTCCTCTCCCGCCTGAGGGGGCAGGCTGCAGGATCCCCTTCTCGGACCCCCAGTGGCATCCAAACCCCGTGCTTCCCCTCTGCGTTTCCTTTTTCCTTCCCCAGCTGGAAAGGGCTCGGGCTAGTTTAGGAGCAGGGAGAAGGCGTTCTCCAGATCTTAGTTTCTTCCCAAAGCTTTTGGAGACACATTTTTTGGTCTGACATAACGGTCAAGATCTGGCTTTCTAAGCTCTCTCCCCTGAGGGGATGGCTGCCCGCCCGCCAGGGAGGGGCGTGGGGTCGAAAGGGAGTGCACGTATGGGCGGACCCTGCGTGTTTCAGGTGGGGCAATGCTCCCAGGACCACCTGGTCTCTAGAACAAACACACCTGTTCCACGCGGCAGGGGTGTGGCCTCGTTCCTAGGATCTGAACACTTGCCCGCGTGCGCTGGGGCAGGTGTGTGCCAGGCAGTGGGCAGGTGCTAACGGCAGCCTGGGCTTCTATTCCCACAGCTAGAGCAGAGCCGCCGACCTTGCAAATAGCATGCGCGCCGCGAACACAACCTGCGTAGGTAACCCGAAATTTTCTAGTAGCCTCATTAAAAAAGGAAGAAGGGGGGCACCCGGGTGGCTCAGTTGGTTGGGCGACTGCCTTTGGCTCGGGTTGTGGTCCCAGAGTCCCTGGATCGAGTCCCGTGTCGGGCTCCCTGTTCAGCAGGGAGTCTGCTTCTCCCTCTGACCCTCCCCCCTCTCATGCTCTCTCTCTGTCTCAAATAAATAGATAAAATCTTAAAAAAAAAAAAAGAAACGAAGAAGGAACAGCCAGAATGAATTTTAAGAACATATTTTACCTAATATGTGCAAAATAACAACACGTAATCAATAGACAAGTTATTGATGATGCAGGTTAAGTCTCCAAAGCCTGGGGTGTATTTTACACATGTAACACATCTCAGCCCTGCTGCTACATTTTAATGAGAAATACTTGACCTGCATTTAGATGTCACAAAACCTACAGCTGGAAAAGAGAGTTGCATACCCCCGTTGCACCAAACGTACTTAGAAGTTTCCCAATAACTGAATCCAGCGTCAGTTTTCAAATCAAAAGAAAATAAAAAACTTGATTCCTCAGTCTCACGAGCCACATGTCCAATGCTCAGAAGCCACGGGTGGCCAGGGGCTGCCCTGTTGGACAGAGCAGTCTAGAATGTTCTCTCCTTCTCCTCCTCTCAACACACATTCTCCTCGGCCTTTACCTGGCTAACCCCTCCTGGCCCCTCAGCGCTTGCTCCCCCCAGCTCCCCAGGATGGCCTGGCCCCTGGCCTCTGGGTGGGCGCTGCTGTAGATTTGTTTTCCAAATAAATGACCGGCTTTGAGGAGCACAGAGACCCACCCTTGGGGATGGGCCTTGGTGTTAAAACGAGGCTGCCGTAAAACACGTATCTGACAAACGGCATGTATCCAGCATGTATAAAGAGCTCTCAAGACTCAAGAGCGAAGAAACAACCTAGTAAAAAATGCACAAATGACTTGAATGGACACTTCACTGAAAATAGTGTTTGGATGGCAGATCAGCACATGAGAAGATGCTCAGCCTCAGACCATGATGCAGGTCTGACACCCAGAAAGAAGGTGGGGGGTGGGTAGGGAGAGCCTCGGCCGGCAGGGCAGCCCCCGACAATCTCGGCCAGGCCAGCGGGGGCTCACGAGAAGTTGTGGGAGGGGTAGGCACGGCAGCCCCTCCACGCCCAGGGCTGCCTCCAGCCGGGCCCAGCGGCTCAGGGCCGCCCTCGGCAGTTGCCTCCCGAAGGGAGAGCAGAGAGCGAGGGCCTCCCCTGCATTAGCATCACTGCCACAGGGCGGATGGACAGGCCACTGTATCAGGGTCCTGGGGTCAAGGAGGCTTCTCCGGGGGGTAACCCACAGCAACAGGATGGGAGTCCTGGGATGGCGTCCAGGAATCGGCCTTTCTCAAGCTCGGCTGATGATCCTGTGCCCATTCCAGTCTGGGAACGCCACGGCGTAGGGCCAGCTCTGCGTTATACAGGTGTGGACTTACGCCCCGAGGCTTGTTCTGGGTCCTGCACGGAGACCGGGGCCGTGTGGGGCCAGAGAGCATGCCAGCCCTTTAGGCTCTGAAGAACCCAGTTGACGCCATCAGTTAAAAATGCATCGGGGACCCACCTTGTGATTTGTGGACAAATGCCTGGGTGCTTGGCATGAAATAGAATTCATAGGCTCATTCTTCTGGAAAAGAAATCCATCCATCTGCAGTCAGAGAAGGGCCTTTGTGCAATGCCAGGGACGGTTCTGGGAGCCACGGCATGGCTTTGGCCAAGACCCACCTGCTCTGCATACGGTTTCTGAAGCAGCCAAACAGGTGGCCACGAAAGTTGCCCGCGCTTCCAGCCACGTTCCTTGCTCTGCCGAGAAGGTGCTTCTGCTCCCCTCCTCTTCAGCCGGTGGGGCGCCCACTCACCCTTGGGCACCTAGCCTCAGAGTCCCCTCCTTCCTGCTCGTGCTTGTGCGGGACACGCCTTGGAACTGCCCCGAGGGTGAGCAGCTGAGCTTTGAACTCACCCCCTGTCCCCTCCAGGGTGTGCGGAGCGGGCTTGGACCCGCGGGAAGACCCAGGATGCCCATCTTTCCCGAACTTGGCATTCAGTAGTGGCAACAGCGGCATGTGGCTGGCTTGACGTGGGCCGGGGAGGAGTACTGACCCCACAGACCCAGTGAACATGACCCATCAGGGCTTGCTTTCCCTCCCAGTTACCAGTTCACCATTCCGCTCCCGGCCCTCCATGGTTGGGGGTGGCTCCTGGCCTGCCAACTCCTGGCACCATGGTCTGCCCTGCAGGTGGGCAGAGCATGCTCCCCTGGCCGGGCATCCCCCAGGGAGGCACACTTGGGAACTGCCCAAGGTGACCTCTGGGCTTGGTGGAGCATGGGGAGCACCAACCACAGGGGGCCGGGCTGGGGAATACCTGGGTCCAGCTTCTGGCTTGCCGGGTTTGCCAATGGGAATGAGCCACAGACTGCCGCTTGGCAGAGTCCGAGCCATGCTGACAGGTGAGGCCAAAGTGCAGAGGGTGTTATTATAGAGGAGAGACTGTGATTTACAGCCGCCTCAGTCCGGGACGGCCGGGCTCGTGGACAGCAGGGAGATGGAGGGGAGCTGGCGGGATACTAACAGGATGAGGGATGTACATTTCATTGAGCTGGTGTGCCGGAGTCCACGCGGCAGAGATTAAATAGCCCGTCCCCTGCATGCAGAAAGACAGCGATAAATCAGGCTTTACTGCAAGCGTGGTGGCAGGGAGTTAATTAGGAATGGGGAAAAAAGTACATTTCAACTCACAAAGAAGCCAAGGGAGCAGCAAAGACCAGCTCAGCCCCACCAGGGGTTGTTGCTCTTGGGGAGAAGCCGTGGTCCACCCCTCCTGCTGAAGGACACACTGAGGGGCCGGGAGTGTCACCTGGGAAGTGTCGGAGCCCAGGTGGGAGAGGGTGAGACCGCTGGCCGAGCCCACCCTGCATCAGCTGGTCTTGGCTGGTTCCCTGCCCGTGTGATTCGTGGGGTCTGGAACTTCCAGGCTGAGGACCAGGTCGCTGGGATTCTCCTGGTGAAGGGGCAGGTGCTATGTGCCACAGCCCATGAGTGCTCAGAATGCTCACAGAGGGAGTTTGCCCCGAATCCCCCCCGCCCCACGCTACCCTTGTTGCTGCCCCCCCGGCCAGCCCCCTCCCACTGTCTTCCAGCCCCCCTCCTCCACTGGGCTGTTTCTGGTTCTGCGCCATGGTTGTGCAGTAACCCCTACCTGGGACACGCACCGTTCAAGACCCAGCTCATTTCCAACTGGTCATTAGCTCGTCGATCATGTACTGAACCCCTCCCCTGAGCTGGGTCCCCTGTGGCGGGATCTATAGTCCTTCGAGCCGAGGACTGCGGCGTGCAGAGCCGTGAGCAGGCGGTGCTAATCCAGTGTGCGGAGGGTACTGGGGACAGCTCAGGGGCTGTGGGCACCGGAAGAAGGGCAGCTAGCCTCCCTTTGTGGCGGGAGCGGAGGGATTGGTGATCAGGAAATTCTAGAGGGAAGTTTGACGTATGTGACTGTCAGTTTGGCTATGGTTATCCTGCAGTAACAAGTACCCCCAAACCTTGTCACTTAGAACGACAAGGCTTCCTGTGTTGGTCACACACTTGGCTGCGAGTCCATGCGTCTCTCAGGCAGTTGTCCTTCGGGTAGTGACCAGCCGTCCCCATTCCCTGCACCGCCAACGTGTGCTGGTCCGTGAAGGGAAAGGATCACGAGAGTCTCTCCCTTGGTTAATTCAATGCTCTGTCTAGGAAACAGCACAGCACGGGCCACGACGGGTCACGTGGTGCAGCCTGACCCGAGGGGACGGGAAGTGGAAACTAGCCGTGGATCCGCAAGGAGAGGGAAGACAGTGACAGGGTAGGTGTGTGGGAGCCTCCGTCCTGAGCTGAGTCCCAAGAGCAGGAACTCGCCGGACAGGGGAGGGCAGCAAGGGGAGGGAAGCGGCAGAGCACGGCTGGAGTGTGAGCGTGTGCATGTGCGGGTGTGGGTGTGGGTGTAAGGTGATAGAGTCTGCACAGGACGCAGAGACCAGACCATGCAGGCCTTTGGAAACCAGACAGAAGGGCAGATTCTGTCCTGAGAGCACTGGGGGGGACCCTGGAGGGCCTGGCGGAGGGACCAGGCCATATTTGCATCTAGAAAGATTCCTCTGGCTGCAGAGAGGCGAACAGGCAGAGGGAGCCTGAGCGGTTGGGGGGATACCCTGGCTGCGTCCAGCGGGGGAGGTGGGCGTGGCTTGCACTTGGGGCGGGGCTGATGATGGAGAGAGGGACCCTGCTCTGAGCGTGCCTGTCCTGCAGGCTCTCGTGCTGGACCACTGCCTGGGCTGATGCTTCAGGCACGTTGGTTCTGTTTGGCTTCTAAGCCTGTGAGTCCATGGGAGGCACAGATCATGTCTGGAAATTGTAGCCCTTGGAATGTGAAAGAAGCTTTAATAACTATTGGGCCTCCAAAAAGAACAATGTGAAATGGGGAGGGACCACCGTTTCTGGCCCCACACAGCGGGGCAAACCTTGCTCCATGAGCTGGGAGCTCCCTAACACGGTGGGAATGATCCCCCTGCTTTTCTGGGCCTCACCCTCTTTCCTCCCTGCCTTCTGCTTCCAGCTCTGGCCAATCCCCATGTTCTGCAACTCCGCATCCCTGAGTCATCATCCCCCTTCCCCAGGGCCACCCCCAAGAGTCAGAGGTGCCCCAGTCCTTGTGGAAGGCACCCGGAGTTCCAGTAAGGTGGGCACGGGGTGGGTGGTGGGTGGGGAGGGCATGGATGGCTGAACTCTCCTCCCGTGTACCGGTGTGAACATCTGATGCCCAGATGGGGGTATGGAAACTTTTAGATGCAGCCAGATGCTCTGCGGGGGAGCATATGGGTCTTGAAAAAAGCTTTATGGTTTTTATCATTACAGAAGTATTATGTGCTCGCTGCAACATTCAGATCTTTGCAAGGTGGGGAGCGGACCCCCCTCCTCCTCCCAATTCTACAGCCCAGAGGTGAGCCATGCTAACCGTGTGGTATCTATAGCCACATTTTTCTGTGCACACATGAGCCTGCCTACATATATATATGTACACATTTTGTATGTGTATACACACTCATATACGTATGTGCTTCATGCATGTATTACATGTAAGGTTCACGTTTCTTCCATGGGCTGGTACAGCTTTGAATGTCAGGACACACGGAACAGCCTCCCTCTTTTTCACGAGCCCAGAATTCCATGGGTCCATGATTTACGTGCTCCGTGGACTACTGAATACGTTCCTTGGCTCTGATTTCGGGCTATTACAAGCCATTACATGCCGCAGTGGGCACGCATGGGCACAGCCGGTGTGCACTTGGGGGAGGATTTCAATGGTGCAGAGGCTCAGCAGTGAACTCTGCCGTTAGCTGGCCTGGGGCTGAGGACTGGCTCTCCCTGAGCAGGTCACGGAGCTCCATGCCTCAGTTTGCCGATCTGTGAAATGGGATTCCAGCACGCCCCCCCCTCCCCCTTTACGGGACGGCATGGGTGGGTGTTCAGCAGGGCATCGGCGCCACTGTGGGTCAAGCTCTCTGATGGCGGGTCTCCGCCTGGGGTTGGGTGGCCTGGCGCCCGGGGCCCAGGACCCCAGGCTCCAAGTGGGGCCCGGCTGGCAGGGGAACAATGCCCAGCTCTGGGAGAACAACAGGCCCTTCCCCGCCTGTCAGGGCGTGAGGATTACATGCAGAATAATGCAGTCCCCGATCAAACCTGCAGCTGTAACTCAGGCCCCAGACTCTGCCAGCGCCATAAATTTGGGCGGGAAGTGCTGCTCTAGCAGTTTGTGAACAAGAGCGGGGAAGGCCGGGTGAATTACAGCCACGGAGGAAGCGGAGGCCCCCTGCCCAGCATTGTTAGCGGGAGCCAGGGATTGACTGCTCACTGGCTTAATGAAATTGAATTTTAATTTATATCTCGGCCCACGACGGGGGGCAGGGGCGTGCCTGGGCAGAGGTGGGCTCAGCCCCAGGATGGGGGCTTGTTCTGTGGGGGTTGGGGGCCCACAGTGCTGCAGCCAAGTCCTACAGGAGGGAACCACAGGCTCCCCAGGGTGGTACGTGCTCCCCAAAGTTTCCAGGCTCTGCCAGTCGCCGGGGGGTGGGGAGAGGGGGGCTTTGGGAAAGTCATGTTACCTGCTGGGGCCTCGTCCCCTCTCTGAGCACACCTGCCTGGCTCAGGTGTAAACCTCCGACGGGCTCTGCGTGGGAGCCGGGAGCCCTGCCAGGCGATAGGACCGGATGTGGAGGAGATGTCTCCGGGCAGGTTATTGATTCTTGGGGCTCTTGGCAAGTCCCCCACTGACCCCTCCCAGTTGTGCAAAAATGACACGTTAGAACTTGCCGCTGCCTAGAGCCAAGTTCAAAGTAATTTCGAGGGCCTGCTAGTCGCAGGGGGCTATCCCTGGGGGCACGTTTGGCATTTACCTGCCCACCAGCGTGCACACGGCACCACGTGCTCTGGGGGGTGGGCTGTGGAGGGCGCATCACAGAGTCAACCTTTTGGGGTGACGCTCACCTGGCTCTGAATCCCAGCTGCGCGTCTCCTGGCCTCAGAAAGCTGCTTCCCGTCTCTGGGCCTGTTTCCTCCTCCTAAGCTGGAGATAGATGGTGGGAGCCCCTACCTCCCGGGGCGTTTTGAGCCTTCAAGACTTGGTGTTTCTGTGCCCGGCCCGTGGTGGAGGCGAGATCTGCAGGAACCACGGTTCCCAGTGGAGCTTCCGCAGGCGTGGCCAAGAGAGAACGAGGGTCTCCTTCGGGCCCAGTGAGGAGGGGGCTTCACAGCGGGCCGGCGGTGTGCAGGGGTCCCGGGAGCCGGGGTCCTGCCTGGGTGGGGCCCGCAGGGCTGGAAGCAGGGGCAGGCTGAGGGGCCGGGAGGGGCTGAGCCTGACCTGACCTGCCTGGGAGCCTGGGAGCAACAGCAGACTTTCCTCTTCCTTTCCCCTCTCGGTGGCCCCCGTCATCTGGGCCCTGCCCGGGGCTTCCTGTGTGACGCCCGGCAGGTGGCTCAGGTGCTATCCCCCTGTTAGTGAGGCAGGGGAACGGCCCGGCTCCTGAGGGTCTGGACCCCTCCCCACATCAGGCCCTGCCCGTCTCGCACCGTGGCACCCATGGGACCTCTGGGCCGGTCCTGCTTCCAGCCTGCAAACACCAGGGGGCTGTCGAGGGGGCCGGCAGGCGGCGCTGCTTCCATCTACAGCCTCCGTCAGTAAGCTGGGCCCCGCGGATAAGGCTGCCGCTGATGATCGAAGCCTACGCCCCTCAGCTTGGGGCGGAAACTGTTCTCTACCGGCTGGATCTGGCAAGTAAAGCCACCAAGTTTAGATGCAGGGTGTGTGCGTGGCAGAGGAGGAAGGTGGACAGGAAACCGCAGACTGGCGCCTTTAGGAATCATTAGAAATCAGCTCCCGCTTTGATTCTACAGAGACGCTCAAGCCCAGAGAGGGACAGGAACTTGTCTGAGGTCACACAGCAAGTGAGCAGGAGAGTTGGGACCACCCTGGGTCACCCAGGCACGGCTCAGGCGAGGTGTCATTAGGCCCATGGGCCCCCCTGGAATGAGAGGGTGCAGAGACGTGGGTCGTTCCTATGTCTTCAGATAGAAAGGAGGCCGCATGTGGTACCGTCCCTTTGTCTTTCAGACTAAAACTTCATCCTTACAATTTTTTGGTGAGTGGACGGTGCCTCTGTGTATAAAAAAAGCTGCCCATCCTCGGTGAGCAGACAGAGGCAGGACCTCAGCCCCCCTTAGACCCCTTCCTGGCCCAAAGGGTCCTGATCAGCACTGACGTGGCCACCCTGACCCCAGCTTCTGTAGGCGAAGTGACTTCTTCAATGCAAACAAATTGATTATGGAAGAAAAGTCTATGGGAAGCCAGCATTGCTCACCAAAACCAGACAACCTAAAAATAAATGTCCCGAATGTATCCTGTATCCTCATACTATAATGTATATGTATATGCATTTTAATATATTACATATATCACATACATATCATTATATATGATATTATTTTTAAAAAGTCTGCTGAGTTCCTAACGTCACTTACATATTGGGAAACGCTCCCTCAGTCTGAGCCTGTGGCTCCGTTCTTTCGGGTTGAGGTCTGTTGCTAATCCGTGCACCTTGCAAGCGAAAGCAAATCCATGCCCAAGGAGGAGCTGATCGGCTGGCTCTCCCAGGGCTGGGGAGGGACAGAGGACAGCAGAAGGGTACAGTGTGGCCCTGGGTCAGGACTGGTGGGTACTGGGCAGCAGGTGGTGGGCACGGTGGGATGGACTGGGGAGGAGCTCCCAGGCTCTGGCCTAGATGCTTTGCACCCACCCTCCTAGCGCACCTCTGAGGGGTGTTAATATTCCTGCTTCATTTTACTATCTTCTCACGAAATAATTCAAACACAGAGAAAACTAGAGAGTAGCAGAATGGACCTGCCCGTACCTGTCTTCCGGCTCCCCTGAATTCTATGACTTGTCCTGCAGGTGCTTTTCTGGATCTTATGCAAGAGAGAGACCATGACAGGTGTTACTGGGGTCCCTCTCCCCCGTTCCCTACCCCAGGCCTTTTCCCTTCTCTCCCCCACCTGCGAGAGAGCCACATCTGCAAGTGACTATTCATCATCCCACTGCACGAATTCATGCTGTGACCAGGCACATGTCAGTGTAAACAGTCTGCGTGACCGTCTTCCAGTTTTATACAGACCCACGCCCATTTTACAGTTGGAAACCCCTGTGCAAGTCCCCACAGTTGTGAGTGGCCCAGCCTGATTCACACCCTGCTGACAGGAGCTCCAGTCACCACAGAGAGATGTTTCTCCCCCACACAGGCCACCCGGGGCCAGCGTGAGGATGCTGGATTTATTGATATGACTTTTGGGGTCTGGGGACCTCAGGGGAGCGCCAGGCCTCGGAGGGCCCGGGTGACCTGGGGGATGGCAGAAGCCAAGAGGAGCCTGTCTTTTGACACCGTGTTATTTTACGGAGGAGAAAATAGCTCCTTGCTTCAGCAGCTGGTGCGGGGAAGTGGAGGTGAGGGAGCGGGTGGGGGCGGGAGGCTGCGTCTCTGCAGAACCAGGGTGGGCTTAATCCTGGGAGATTTATGGCACCAAGCATCACGGAAGTCTGGGTCGGGGGGAAGGGGTCCCAGTCCCTCAGCCCCGTCTCTCTGACTGAAAAGTGGGTCAGTGGGCCTGAGGGTGAGGATCTACGGGGGATGGGGAGTGACAAGCTGGCCGCAGCCTGCCCGGGGGAATTTGAAGAGGGAGGGTGCATTGGAGGGCAGGTGGCAGTCACGGCCTGCAGGGAACAAGGCCGCCAGTGGGGCTGGTAGTGGTGGGGGAAATGGGGGGGTGCTCCATGAATATGCATGCGGTTGAGGGCCCAGTAGTTCTGCGTGCCCCACCATGGACCCAACACCCCACACATGGGTGCACACCCACCCCAAACACACATGCACGCACGGCTCGGTGAAGCCTTTCCCACCACTAGAGGGTACTAGAAGTCTTCCCAGCCTGTACATTCATCCGCCGAAACTGGTGTGCATACATATGTGCGTTCGTGGACACACACACACACACTGTGTGTGTCGAAAAGAAAAAGAAAGAAAGAAGGAAAGAAAGAGCGAAGAAAATCCCGGAAAAAACAGCAGCTGACGGTAATTCGAGCGGACGAGGGCCGCAGATCCCGGAGGCTGCTAACAATAACCAAG